AAGACGGTTTGCGTTGTGCGTGATGCTGCATCCTTCTCATCGTCGTTCCGGCGACCTCACTGTCGTCGAAAGCCTTTCTTTTCTTTCCCTTCTTCATGTCGAATCTAGGCGACCGGCGACCATTCTTTTCCATCGGATCGGAGAGAGGAGAGATGTGCTTGAGGAACGGGGGAGAGATGATGATAGCGTACCCTTGCCCTTGGACCACTTCTTTCTGGTAGGAGCCTGGTGAAAAGAGTATTAGTATTTCATCTTTGACTATGATGTCGCAGAGGTTCCTACGACTCGATATACCAAGTCGCAGGCGCGCAGTCCAACTCACCATTTTGACGATCTGATGTAGCTGTTCGACGGAGGAGAGCTGCACAACAGAGCGAACGGTCGGAAACTTGAGTGCCCAAGTGCGAAATTCGAGTGGGGAATGACTCAGCGTCACGTGGGCTCTAACCCTAAACCCTGGACGGGCGGCCGCCGCCCTCGGTTAGCTGCGATGACCAGGGGAGCCGCTGCCATTGGCTGCGGGAAGACTGGCTCTGGCCTCATCTACTATCTAGATTGTTCTTGGCAGTATGATGGTGTAGATCAACCACTTCTATATTATGGCAGGATGGTCTGGGTTTTAGATGTCTGGTTTATATATCGCTCGCTTTTCCACTGCTAGCCAAGCTGGAAACACCAAGTCATAACTACTAGTCCCAAAGACCACGCGCGCAATTAGACGTTCCGTATGATAACGATTAGATACTAACTATACAATGCTTATACTAGAACACGTCAAGTTTGACCCCTTTCCAAAAGTCGCTCAGTCGCTCAGAAAGCCGAACACAGTTTCGTAAAGCATAGATCATCACGCCATAAGTCCGAATGTCCATCCATCCGGATCAGCGGCTCGCCGACGGACCAGAGCCGCTCGAGGCGAGCTTGTCGCGGATTGTATTAAGGACATGAAACTGTGGCTCTTCATCAACCCCTTCAATGTAGCCAAGCACATAGTCCTCCGGTGTACCGAACCAAAACCTTGAGTCCTCATCTTCATCTATCGCCATCCATCTCGCATCGTACCTGCCGGTCTCAGTTCGAGGGATAGGTATGCGAACTGTGAGAGGCTGACTATAGGGTGACCAGTAGCGGACGGCAGAGTATCCGGGATTCGCAGTGGTGATGAGTAATTGTGACTTGGTAGGATGCCATACCACTTGCCTGACGTTGTGTTCGTGGACCAGAGCAGACAGCAGGACCGGCGTGGACTCCAAGTCCCAGATCCAGACAATGTTTGGCCGTGTTTGGTCGACAGTGCTGAGAAGCGCGCCACTAGCACTGAACGCCATAATCATTACACCACGGGGCGGGCCAGAGACTTCCGCGTTGGCACCAAACGCCGAAGAGCTCGACGCCTCAGCATACTCTAGCGTTCCGTCTTCAGTCGGTCGCTCTCTCCAGATACTGGGCGAGTTCTGTTCAACCTGGAAGACGTGCGAAAGAGTCGTAGAGCAGGAAAACTGGCTTGGTCAGCATGCCGATCCAGGTAGATGACCACAAGGTAAGCCTTACAGTTGTACTTTTCAAAAGATCCACAGATCCATCCACCTTCCCGACAGCCAGAACCTCAGAGACCCCGCGTGCACTTGAAACCGGACTCCACTCGATACTTCGAACACCCAAATCAAAAGAGGTGTCCGATCCTGGTAGGCCCGTATACGTTCGGAAAAGCTGCCCGTCGGCCGTGAAGATGAGGACTCTCGTGCCCGCACTTGCAGCATCCCACACGGCGATCCACCTCCCATCCGGACTCCACTTCAGACCCTGAGCATCCACCGTCGGCAAATTTGCCCGGCTGATCAGCTCGTACGACTCGAACTCGTGAATCGTCAGGAGGTCAGCAGCATCTGGCTTGAGGAGGACCGCCAGCTGCCTCGTTTTCGGTCGGTACCCGAAACCATTGGTAGTCGAGAACTTGGGCGCTTTGATGATCTGGCTGCGGCCGGTGTCCAGCCCAAAAATGGTGATCTTAGTGTTCCACGCGTGGAAGTAGATGATTTCATTCTCGTCGCCGCCGAAGTCGATGTAGGTGGCTCCGGGCTCGATGCTCTCGATCTCCGCGTGCAGCTGCAACGAATTCAACCGCCAGACGGAGACACGGGTGTCACTGGCACACAGCAGGCGTCTCTCCGGGAGACTCACCCCCCCGTAGGAATGTGTGCTTGATGGCAAGACAGGCTTGGAGCGGGAGAATTTGAGGGATTTCGAGGCATTCTCTTTGAGCCTCACAACTTGCACTTCCTTGAAATCTGAGGAAGTGGGGTTGAGATGGACCGCCAATTCTCTGCCATTCAGCTGTGCCACATAGTCACCATCCTCAGAGAATGCGATGGAAGGGGATACTATATCAATCAGTATAAAGTGGTTGCCGGGGTTTATGTCTCAACTTACCACCCGCCCCTGTGGCGTCCATTGTTGATAATCCGTAAATTAGTAGAGTCTGAAAGCTTTGAAGCAGGGTGCAGATATCTGGGGACTTGAATTGACTCTCTAGACCCTGGGCATACTACAATCTGCCTACCTTAGCTCTTCGCGCTCGATACTGCCGAAGTTTCTTTGATAAACATATCGAAGGTTTCTCCCTAAACATAAACCCACTCGCGGAAAAGCGCTAAAGCCTCGTTATTGGATTATGTAAGCTCTAGCATCGTTGCATTGCTTTAGGCATGACTGACACATTCACACAAGAGCAAGAAGTGTAACAAAGTTCAGTTGCTAGGCAGGTTCCTGACCACCTTGCTCAACATTGTCCGAGAAGTAAGGAAGCCTATTTTGACGATGTAATCATGCAGGTCGCCTAAAAAGTGATACGTCAATTTGGTTCATGTCGCTGGATAAGATAAGAGGATCAACCTTGTTCCGCCCCGAGATAAATTATCGGTGGAAAAAAGATGCCCGCCATCCGCTCTTGTACCCCAGGTCTCGCTATCTCGCCTCGATTGTATGCGTCTCACTTACGACTGAAGTGTGATCCACTATATACATCCGAGCCTGCTACTGTTCAATCCTCAAAATAAAGCTCCTACGACTTCTTCCCCCTTGGCTGGGGCGAAACCTCTTTACAACGCTGCGTCCCACCCCGCTGACAATGGCAACTTCCGAGACGGCGCCCGCGCCGCAGAACAGCGCCGCCGACCAAAATGCGCCAACCACCCTCACATCCGAACCGAAGACGAAGCTTCTCGGACGGGACTTTTACAAGAGCATCGGCAGTCCGAAGTACATCATTGCGCCCATGGTAGACCGGTCTGAATTCGTAAGCCCTCCCTAACCCCCCCCCCCCCGGCCTCGCCCGCACCTTGACGGCAAATTTTGCCATAATCGAAAGCTAACATGGTTGGTGCAAGGCATGGCGCATGCTCACCAGGTCCTTCTTGCCCCCAGAGGAGCAGAAGCAAATCCTCGCCTACTCTCCCATGTACCACGCCCGCCTCTTCCGCGAACAGCCCAACGTGCGCGCGCAGCACTTCCACCCGACCCGCGCCGCCGCCGGCAAGGAGGGCGACGAGTCCCTCTTCCTCGACGGCAACCCGGCCATCGACCGACCGCTCTTCGTGCAGTTCTGCGCCAACGACCCGGATGACTTCCTCGAGGCGGCCCGCCATGTGGCGCCGTACTGCGACGCGGTGGATTTGAACCTCGGATGTCCCCAGGGCATCGCGAAGCGCGGACACTACGGAGCGTTCCTCCAGGAGGATTGGGACCTGATCTACAAGCTGATCAACCGCCTGCACACCGAGCTCCCCATCCCGGTCACCGCCAAGTTCCGCATCCAGGAGACCAAGGAGAAGACGCTGGAGTATGCGAAGATGATCCTGTCCGCCGGCGCGAGCATCATCGCCGTGCACGGCCGACGCCGGGAGCAGAAGGGCCACAATACGGGCGTGGCGGACTGGAGCTACATCCGCTACCTGCGCGACAACCTGCCCCCGGAGACGGTCATCTTCGCCAACGGCAACAATCTGAATTACGACGATCTGGACCGCTGTCTGGAAGCCACCGGGGCGGATGCCGTGATGAGCGCCGAGGGTAACCTGTCCGATCCGTCAATCTTCAGCAAGCCGCCTCCCGTCGGCAGTGAAGGCAGGGATTACTGGCGCGGCCGGGACGGGAAGGGCGGATATCGCATCGACGCCATGCTGCGTCGGTATCTGGATGTGCTCTACAAGTACGTCCTGGAGCAACCGGTCCCTGAGCGGAAGCCGCTGTATCTACCGTCCGACCCCGTGGAGGAAGAACTCGCGCAGGATTTGGAGGCCGAGGAAGAGGATGGCCCACCCAAGAAGAAGCAGAAGCGCGAGAAGGGCAAGCGGGCGGCCTCCCCCAGTCTGGGAGTGATGCAGGGCCACCTCTTCCAGCTCCTCCGTCCCATGGTCTCCGTACACACCGACGTCCGCGACGCTCTGGCCAGATCGCGCCCCGGCGACATGGCCGCGTTCGAGCATGTCCTGACGCTCGTCGAGAAGGCCGTCAAGAAGGGCCTCCAGGAATACGAGGAGTTTCCCGAGCGCTTCGAGCGGTCCCCCGACGAGAAGCTGACGGGGTCCAAGGCGACGATCGCGGAATACGGCCGGCCCTTCTGGGTCTGCCAACCGCATATCCGGCCCTTGCCGGAGGAGGCCGTCGAGCTTGGAGCTCTTACCGCCAAGGGATCTGTGACCACCAAGAAGAAGCAGCAGCCCAACGGCACGACGGACGGAGCAGTCGAGGCGCCAGCCACCCCGGTTGCCGAGGGATCTGCCACTCCTTCTGGAGACTCGAAAACGGTGTCAGCCATGGCTACGCCCGATCCCCTGGTGAGCGGTTGAGAAATGAATTGACGTGATCTTGTTGTTTTCCGGAGTACTGGGGGGAAGTCATAGCATTTATACCCATCTCGGGCATAGCTTATTGTTGTTTCTACATTGCTTTGTTTAGATCGTTTAGACCTCGTCGATAGACCAGAGTATATAAAGAGTTCTGTTCGCTAATTTCTCTACAACAGAAGGATATCAAACAAATCAGGTATCTCGCATCACAAACCTACAACCCGTAAGCGCAACAAACAAACCGTACCTCAACCCCCAAACTCCATCCTTACCCAACAAAAAACCCACCTAAAAGTCCATAACAAGCTGCGGCGCCAACTTCTCGAGATCCTCAACCTACCCAACCCATTAGCGCACACCCTTACCAAACCCCCCAGAGCAACAATGAATGGGCAGAACAAGGGAAGGGTTGACAAACCTCCAAAAACCCATCCCCCACACTGGCCCCCTCGCCGACGGCCTCGCGGCGCTCGAACGCGGCCCGCGCCAGCGCCTCCCGCACAAACACATCCACATACTTGGCGACGACCGTGTTGGCGTCCTTGGCCATCTTGGTCTTCGGGTGCTGGAAGTGGTGGTGCAGCAGCCGCGTCAGCAGCTTGGCGGGGATGACGGGCTCGCGCGTGACGATGTCCTCGGCGGGATCGGTGGTGTGCGTGATCTCTGCGAGGATGTAGTCCGGTTCCGGGGAGGGGGAGGGGGAGGCGGGGGTTTCGTTGTTGTTGTTGTTTTTGCTGGAAGGAGATTGGGAGGCGGAAGCGGAAGCGGATGGCGCGGGGGAGGTTGAGTTTGAGTTTGAGCGAGAGGGGGATGTTCTTCGCCGTTTGGGCCGTGGGTTGTTGGGGGTTTGCTCTTCTGCGTCGTCCGAGGCGGACGGTTCGTTGTCTGTGTCGGAGGGGGGAGGGGGGGGGAGGGTGGGTTTGTTTTTGGATTTGGTGGTGGTGGGTTGCCGGGCTTTGGAGGAGGGTGCTGTGGTTGTGGTGTTCTTTCGTGTTGGGTTGGGTTTGGTGGACGATGAGGATGCTGTGGTGGTGGCTTTGGATCTGGGCTTGGATGATGATGCTGAAGCTGACGCGGCTGCTGCTGCTGCTGTTGGTGCGGATGAAGAGGCCCGGCTTGGGGGTTTGAACGGCAGTCTGCGCCGTTTCTGTGTGGGCTGTCGCTCGGGGGGCATTTTGTTGTCGGTGTAGAAGTAGAAGTAGCGCTGGCTGAGCTTTGTTTGCTCGTCGGGTTATTCTTCCCCAAGGTGAGTCGTGTTGGTAGTGGTGGTTGAGATGCGGAGATGGCGTCGCGAAACACGTGCATCGCGGAACTAAACGCGAGATCATGTGATATAATCATGATCACTATCACTTCCATCATAATGGCAGGCTTTACTGAATGTTGATTTTTAGATATTTGAAAATGGTCATGCTCTTCAGAGTTGCATTAGGAGTCTCAGAATTTGTCTTCGTAAAGTGCATTTCTCAGCTGATTCGTTTCTAGCAAGATTCTGCCTTCAAGATACATATTTCCTTTTGCGGTTGTTTACTACGATACACATCCAATTGCGCAGGGGCATTTGCTTTGCGTAATAATTCTATGACTTCACAGCATGCTTTCAGTGCGATTACCAAGATTAAACACCCAGCGGGTGTTTGATTCGAGCTACGAGGTTCCCAACAAAGCAATAATTGCAGAATTAAGTCATTGCATATCAACATAGTTCGAGAAAATTAGAACAACTTCTCAGAAACTACCATTAAGAACACCAGCCAGCCCATCAGTAAGAAACATGCAAATGCAGCGACTAAGTATCCTCGTGACAAAGTATGGTCCCATGCCGACGCAGGATCCTTCGAATCCACACCCTCCATCCTGCTGTCAGCCAAGCGACCAAGCTAGGACCCAGTATCACGTCTCCCATCGATGGCCGCAAAGAAACACCCCAAGAAGCACGCCATCACGGCTGAGGCTGTCTGACAACAGTGACCTCCAGCCCGGATCTCACCAGAATATCTCTCGAATGAGCCCAATCCACTTCGAACAATCCCGAGTTGAACTGACACGACCAGAGCCGCCCCAAATTGATCCCCTCGTCACGGAGTTCATCGAGCTGTTTCTTCAGATCTGCGACCGCAAGCTCGGTGTTTCCGAGCAGAATGTCGACTGGCGAGAGGGCTCTTCCATGGTTGAAGGACGTGAAAAGGCAGATGATCCAGTGCTGATGCCCGCCGCTGGGCTCGTAGTCGCCGTGCTGGGGCGGGATGATGAGCGCAGTGCCTTCGGGCAAGCGGAGTCGGCGCGGACCTGTCTCGCCTGTGACGACCACTTCTGTGTTGAGCGTATTGTAGTCTTGACAGTGGGTACGGTAGGCGATATAAGCATTAGGATACTGGAGATGATGGAATCATGTCAGTGGTTTGGCCAGAATGAGATGGCAGGCTGGAGAGCATACTTTGTCTCGGAACTTTCTAGCAATCCCATTGCCTCAATGGCCTTGACAGTTGCAAGCGTCTAGGATTCGTCAGGATCAGATACTCTAGTCCGACGAGCACAACTTACGGATCAGTGCCGCTCCATCGGGGGCATCGAATAGATTGCCTTCTATCTCCAGGATACGTCCTTGGCCATATTCCGGCTCCATTCTGCGTAGTTGGATCCTTGGAATGCAAGAATGAGTGGGATTATTAACTGAAATTTGTAGAACAAGGCTGGTAGTGAAAGGAAGGTTATTGAGAGTTAAGGAAGAATGAGCTAAAGGAGAGGAAGAAACGGTTTTGATATTGGACCCCACTCGGTGCAGCAGAACTACAAACAAAAAGGAAAGACAGCCAAACCAAGACAGAACCACAAGCAAATCACAGCATCAATTCGAACATTAATCCAGACAAAGACTCAATCCAACGACCGGATTCACTGCTGGTAATTACCGTTATCCACCGGTTCAGGTTGACCTGCATCCTCACCTCGGACTGCCGAAGAAAGAGAGCTTCTCGCCTTAGTGGTTGACCTGGACCTGGACTTTAACTTGAGTTTCTTCCCCTCCTTAGAAGCCTCGCTTCCGTGAGACTGATCCTCGGCCATGGATGCTGGCGACTTCCTATCACTGAAATTCCACGAGGATGTTGTCGCCACAGAGATCGGAGCACTCTGTGTGCTACCGGATTTCAACTTTCGGCTCACGGTCCGAGAAATAGTTCGAAAAATCCCCGTGCCACGCTCCAGATTTGCCAATTGGCCCATCACAGTCACTCCGTTGGTTGCAAGGTTCTCTTCTGGCATCGGAATGTATAAGATGACTCCGCGGTTCGGCGCTATGTTTAGAATCTTCTGGAGCTCCATCTGAATCAGGATGGTACTTCGGAGATTCATTATAGGCGCTATGAGAAACGGCAATGCGAACACCTTCATCAGGTACGCCGGCGTATTTGAGTTCCCAAAGTAAACACAAGCACCTTGCTGAATCGTGGTCATAATGAAGACCTCGGGCTTTTCAAGAATCTGTGCCATCCTTGTTGAGATCGTCGACGCCAGCGTGTCATCGTCCTTGACCTGAGATTGACATCAGTGTCCAGTCCAGATCCAACTGATCCTAAACTAGCAACAGGGACCAGTTGAATGCTTACCCGGGTATTGATCTTGACCTCAACGACGGTCACAGCTTCGTGAGTAATCTGAGTTCTCGGGGAGGTCACCAGACCCCTGATATTGAACATCTCCTCGAAATATTGACTTTTGGGACGCAACACAGACTCTCCCTCAATACTCTTGCGTTCGAGATGAGTAGGCTTCACATCAGCAGGCACACCTGGCTTGATGGGGTACATCGCATGCTCATCGTCGTCCTTCTCCTCGAGAAACATGGACGGCCTCACAGGTGCCCTATCCAGTTTATTCTTCTGCTTCAATGTCGCCTCGGAGATGGTCCTCGCACCGAGTGCTTGGAATGCCATGGGCGATTGGAGCACAGGAACTGTTGGGGAGATACTCGAAGAGGACGTAGAGGGACCGCTATGTCTCTTGCGGAAGGAGAACTCGAATCGGCGACGTCTTGGAGTCATTGTGCTGCAGGGTAGATAATCAGCCCAGGTTAACCGACAAACTTCCTTGAGTCTGACTATTGATGGATGACCTTGCACCAGTACGCAAGAGTACAAGGGAGGTTGAATCTGACTGAGTAACTTCAATCCAGATACTCTACGATAAACCCGGGTTACTCGTCCTGGTATGGAAGGAGCTATGAACTGTACGCGAAGAGGGAAGGTGGCTTCCTACGCCGACTTTGGGATATCTTCTTGTACGCCAACAAGCCAGCGCCCGAACATCAAAAGTACGTCCTCTCGAAAGTTGTTCCATTCAACTAAGAAAGCCCAGATAGTCAAAGGCCGAGTTCCCACTACAGAAGACCTTGTCAATCCTCCTCCTTCGATCCCATACAATCTCTTCATCCGACCGGCGTTTGATATGGAGGATACGATGTTGGGGGATGAACTCGTCGTGTGTCGTCTCTCGCTTCCACGTGTTGAAGCTGGCTTCAAGGCGTCCCTCGAATCGGTCCTCATATACAATCACGAAATCATCACTATCGTAGTCCGGGTCCCATATTATGCGATTGATGACATCTTTGACTTGGGGCTTCAGTATCAAATCTGCCCATCGGATGATGGAATTGGATCAAATGACGTACCTGCAGCAGGTCGTAATCGATTCTCCACCGTCGCGGGTCTCGTGGGGATATGGCGGGCATGGATGGGCTTCTCTTGAAGGATGAGGGTTGCGACTCTCTCTGGAGAGCTTCGTCGTGATGAGGAACTTCTTTCCATTGTAGTGTACACAGTAGGAAGGACTTGTGAGACTTGCTCGGGGGCTTGGAGAGCCATGATTATCGGCATATGTGTATAGCTTCTAAGGACAAAAGAGGTTTGTATCAGAGTGATGATTTTATTGGTACGGTTACAGTAGCGGAAGCTGGATTTTAATAATGAAGTAGGGATGTTGATGGCGATGGGGATCTAAATCCTGTCTAGGCAGCCTTCAGGCGGCATACAAATCTCACGTTAGCTGGAGCGGACCGTCACCAGTGAAGGACGGAGTTAGTGATACGCCATGTATTAGGGCCGCAAATTCACGGGACTGATTCAAATGAGTGATCCTTGGTTTCACATGGAGCCAATGGCTGGCTCGGTTCTTCGTACTGGTGACTCAAACCGTTGGTGGCGGAGCAACTGACGGCACGAGTAAATGCTACATGACTCACTGCACTGTGCCATGAGAAAAGGAAGTTCAGTCGTGGCGAAGGGGTCAGAAAACTTGACACTGGGAGCCCTGTGAAGGATAGAAAGGGCCTGGTTGACATGAGCGACCTGATATCCAGCTCTATTGATAGAGATTGAAGATGTTGACCCCCGACAGGGAGATGGAGCCCCCGGCTGTCTGACGACGTTAGCCCTTGGAGCGATTGAGAAAAAGGTCACTAGATACCATTTAACTCTTAACTCAAATTCAAAATTTGCGGATGATAGGGTTGTCCTCAGATCATTACCGAGACTATCTCTGACCAAATCTCATCGTAGTAGAGCCCTGGATTAGGCCTTCTCGCGCAGGTAAGAGGTACAGTCGTTGTAGTTGTGCCCGCTGTTGCTCCACCCGCACCTCCGCATCTTTGCGCGTGCCGCGCCTGACGCGTCGACCGGCAAGAAAGCAAGACACAACCGCATCATCAACTTCTCTCTTTCCTCCACCCTAGCAGCAGATAGTGCGACTACCTGCCAGCCATGACAGACGCTACCACCTCCTTGCTCACCGAGCATTTCAGCTACACCCCTCTAGTAAGCAGAATCCTTTTAACCCCCACCAAAAAAAACCCATACACACGCGCGCGCGGGCGCCTCGACTTCACCACCAACACCCCCCATCCCCAACCGGATCTAAAACCATGACTGACCTCCACACCCCCACGAAATCTAGTCCCTCATCGACGACATCATCAACTCAATCAACAATCTCATCTACCAAGCCATCTCGAGCCTCGAAACCGGTCTCCTCAACACTCCGCCCGAACGCCTCGGGTTCGCGCACGCCGCCAACGAATCCACAATCCCGGACACCGACGAGGATGGTAACGTGATCTACCCGGAAGCGCAACTGGAGATTGAGAATGGCTTGCACCAGTTGGAGACGCTCCTAGAGGCGACCGTCGACAAGACGTTCGATAAATTCGAGCTGTTTGTCCTGCGGAACACGTTCAAGGTCCCCGAGGACCTTATGGGTTGGATCCGGTTGAAGCATTATGAGGTAAACAATTCGACTGTGACGAAACTTTCCGCCCTGTTTTGCTGACGCGCAGTCTAAAAAAAATAGAATCTCGACCTGCATCCCCCGGAAGATGCGCCCACGCCGGATACGATCGCCGCGCAGCGAAAGAAGCTCCTCGAGACCAAGAAGTTGAATCGGGCGCTGAAGCAGGAGAGCGCCCAGAACGACGCGATCATTGCGCAGTTACGGCAGATCTTGTCGACTAAGGGACCGAAACCGGACACTACGAAAGCAGGTGACGAGGCGGCAGTGCCATCAGCTACGGCAAATACGACTAAAGACTTGGACTTGTCGTTCTTGACGTCGAGCGCTGCGGCGCGCCAGTTGCGCGTCGGGGCGGTGGCCGGGTCTAATAAACAGCACACGCCCATCACCACGAACACTACGTTTATCCTGTCGCAGCTGCCCGCGCTGCAGGCGCTGATCAAAGAGCTCCGGCCTAAGCTGGCTACGCTGCAACAGTCGGAGGATAAGATGGAGGTCGACTCCAAGGCGGATGCGCGACGCGAATACATTGAGAGCAGAGTCAGGCTGCACCTGGAGCGCTCCGGGCAGCTGGCTGCCGGGAATGAAGTCAACCCGGTGCTTACGGGCCGCAGAGTCGACATTGCAGAAGCGCAGGCGCTGGAGTCTGTTATGGGGCTACTTGCGGAGGGTCAAAACAAATCCGCCTAGTGGAGACGAACACAAACAAAGCAGCAAGTCTTCCCAGTGATGCACTTTTATTCAGGGGGAAGTTACTTAAAAACTTGCGCAACTGATGGCGAGGAAGAACTATGACGACCAGGTGACGCTCCACGTCTGCTGATCCCTCCGGAAAGGCACAACATCCACCTTGTCCGACTGCAGGATGTTCGGAATCTTCTCATCCTTCTTCTCGATGACAATGAACTCCTTCTGCTCCTCGCCGATACCATAGAACTGGCGGCCATACTTGCTCATGAAGCCCTCGAGGATCTCGGGCGTGATGTCCTCCTCCTTGAGGACGCCGTTCTGGCAGGCCTGCTCGAACGCGTCGATCACAAGCTGGGTGGTGAAGGGCTGGGTGAAGACACCGGCCGCAATCTTGTCGCCGCCTCTCTTCGACACGGCAGGGTGAGGGGCGCTATCGGAGCCGAAGAAGAACTTGGGGTTGCCGGATGCAGCCGCTCTCAGCAGCGCGTCCCGGTCCGCGGGGGTCTTGGCGACGGGCTTGCAGAAGCAGAACGGATCTCCAGCCCAGGAGTCGATGATGATAGACAAGTGGTGGGCCGTAACTATTTATTTTTAGTCGCCCAACAGTCAGCCCGACATTCTCTTCAACAAAGGGGTGAAGGGATGGGGTATCAATCCTCACTTGTTCCCGCCACCGTCGGCCCACACTTCTTCACGGCCTCCACCGCGGCGGCGGTGGTGCAGTGCTCCAGGATGATGCGCAGCTTGGGAAAGCGCTCATGCAGCTGCAGCAGGGTTGGGAGGAACCGCTCCTCGGCGGTGAGGACCGTCACGTCCCCCTTGGAGGGCACCTCGCCGTGCAGGTTGAGCACCATATCCTGGCGCTCCATCTCCTCGAACACCGGGTAGAACTGGGTGTAGTCGACCACGCCGGAGGAGGAGTTGGTCGTCACGCCCGCCGGGTAGCTCTTGACGCCCGTGATGCCGCGCTGCTTGGCCTCGATGATCGTCTCGGGCGTCACCGTCTCGTGCAGGTACAGGCTCATCAGGTAGTTGACGTTGGGCTCGATCGCTTCCAGACTCTTCTTATACTCGAGGGCGCGGTCGACGGTTGTGACGGGGGGGACTAGATTCGGCTGGAGGCAACAGATGAGCAGGAAGACTAGGCTGAATGATAATGTCTCATGTGATAAATCCCTTTGTCGAACCTACGATTCCATGCACAATTAAGGGAAAGGGATATGGGGAAATGGGGGGAAAAGTTACCATAACAAAAACAGTATTCACACCTCCCTGACGAATAGTAGGCGTCACCAGCTTCATCATATCCCCATCGCGCAGGTGGACTGTACCCCCCCCCTCGTCCTAACACATTAGCCTAGACACTCTAAACATCCCACTCCACATCCAACTGACACTTTCCACGCTGTATCCCAAAGCATACACAGCCTAGCATGCGGGGCATCCAAAGCAAAGCAAAGCAAAGCAAAGCAAAGCAAAGCAAAGAAATAGAAACGCACCATGGAAATCCGCCGAAGCGGGGAGCTTAACGCCCTGCAGCTTGGAGAGGGGCATGGCGGACTGGTATCGTTTGGTGACGCAGATGCCGGAAGAAAAAGATCCAATCAATCGAGGATTGAAGATGCGAGGGCGAAGCATGAACAGGTCCCCGGAAATTGTAAGATTGAAACTTGCAATGCAATGCACAGCAAAAAGGGGAGAAAAAAAGTGCCTTCAATTTGCTTTGCAAAGTCTCCCGCCTTATTTTTCCCCGCCAAAATTTGTCCGCGCGCGCGCCGCGGTGTGGGGTGAGTGACCGCCTGGGGTTTGATTGGTTGGGTGATAAGGGGTGGTCGTGGTGGTGGTGATGATGTCAGCGGGAGGTGCTCCGGTTTCGGGGCGATGGCAGTATACCTACGGCGGGTTGCGGAATGCTTACCTTAGTACTTTGTAGTAGCTATCTTGTACCAAGGGTAGATGAATCAAGTCTAGGAGTCAAATTGACTAGGCACTTGAACGGAGTACTTCAATTTTAATTGAAAGTGAACGAATGGAACGTCAAGAGTAACAACTAACTAGCACAGATCGACAGATTCAGAACGAGCAAATCAAGCTGGAGCGATTGTTGTTTGACAAGAACAGAAAAGCAAAGCACACAGCAACGAATTACGGACACGATCGTTTTCATCTCCTCTTGCTTGCGAGATCAAGGGTTAAGCCAGAGGCCTGAGCTTCAAAAGCCACCAGGCTGGCCACCGCTGGACTGGCCGCTCCCACCTGGTCCACCGGAGCCGCTGGACTGGCCACCACCGGGCGAGCTTCCTCCAGTCGAGGATGAGCTGTCATCAACAGCTTCGCCACCGCTGGAGGTGTAGATGAAGCTGTAGTTGGGGTCATAGGTGGCGGAGACGTTGACGGCGATGGTGATCCATCCGAAAAGCCCATCGCTCAAGTCGTCGCCAATATAGACATAGTTCAACACCGGGTCCGAGGTGGAGTTCTCCGTCTCGTCGGAAAAGACGCGATCCTCCGCGTTGGTGGTGAGGGTGACCGTGTTCTCGTTGTACGGGGACGTGGCCTCAACCGCGTTGATTAGGTCCTGATCCCAGAAGATCTGTCCGATATGAGCGACAGTGCCCCCGGTAATCGTGTTGTTCTCCTGCACTGTCACATCCAGGTGAGCCACCATGTGGTGGTGGGTGGTGCGGCCGGAGTAGTGCCCCGGGAAGAGGGTGTTGAAGGTGACGACACCGTCAGAGTCGGTCTTCTGGATACCCCGCAGGAAGGTCGCGTTGAGGTTGGAGGTGTCGGCAGTGTTTCCGTTGCCAGTGGCGACCAGGCCGGAGTAGACGCCTGTGGCGTTGCAGTTCCAGATGTCCCAGTACAGGTCGGTGATGGGCTCACAGGTCTCGACGTCGACAAACTGGCCCTCGATGGTCACAGGCACACCAGGCTGGCTCTCGCGAAGGTCCGCGCGGACGTATTCGCCTGGAACGTAGTAAGGGCCCGTCTCGCCCTCGGGGTTGAGAACGCAGCTGCTGCTACTGCCAAAGATTTCGCTCTCGGAGGAGTCGGCAGTGATGCCATTGCCGGTCTCATTGTGGTTGGTGGCGAGAACCGAGGAGGTATCCCGTGCAGCGAGACGCTTGCGGTGCGAGTCAACCAGGGCCCTACGGCGAACCTCTGCACGGGCGTTCAATCCGCTGCTCTCGAATCGAGCGGCGCACTTCTCGAGCCCTCGACGCATGTTGGCCTTGAATTCCAGAAGCTCGGAAGCAGCACGCTTCTCTTCGTGGCCAGGATGGGCGGTAGCCAGGACCGCACCTCCAACAATGGCCAAGTTGGCAACGTTCTTGAAATGCATCTTGAAATATTGAAAAGAATGGCCAGAGACGAAGGGAATATGCCTGAAAGACGAGGAGGAGGAGTTTGCCACTGATGGAGTGAGAGTTGCTGCTTGACAGTTCGTCTTCTGCATCGGCTTGCACACCTCTTATATAGGTTTTACCGCCATATTGAGGTTTGAAGCAAGAGCTTGCTGCAGTCCAGCTTCATCACACCGTCTAGCTACATCGCAATCGCTGTGCGGAACCAATTCCTTGATCAAAGCGACACTATACCGAGAGGCTGCAAAAGTCTCGAACAGAAGACAGCCGGCGGGATGAAGGCGTATGTACCCCTGCTGCTTTTTCTGGAGTTGATTGGTGACATCTCCGAGGAAGTCACTAGATTTGATGCAATATACTGGACGCAATGACTGATGACGAGTCCCTCCCACATGCCAAGACATAGGCCGTGGGGTCCCTGCAATGAAGCTCACCTGCCAAGAACCACCAAGAAACATTCTAGCGATATCACTTGCCCGGGCGACGCGTGTTATTAGTTTTGATCAGGGTGTGATTGGCTGTCTCTCGTCTGACGAGTGTGAAGATCTGCACTCTAGATGGGGTCCCGGCTCCATCTTTATCCGCCGTCTATCAAACACAGCTGTTGTATGCCCTCAACCCTGGAGTTATTGGAGACGGTGGCAGTAGCCCAGGACTAGGCAGACACACGGAGAATCATCCGCCGCCTGGGCAGGGTGGCTGAGGACTGGCCTATTCCTAGGCATCGGCTGGTGTGCTGCTGAGGTTGTGCTGCGCAGTGACAGCCCTGGGGTTTGAGACATGGTCATTAGCCCTCAAAGTGACGATACATCAACGTCCGTGACGGCTTCATAGTAGTGAAAGCCGGACCTGCTCTTTGCGTGCGGGCTTGTGAGTAGCGCACCTGTGAAATGCGGCACCTGGTATGGTATCCTAATGGGGACAAATCCCGCTTCGATCAAGTACGGGATCTCGGCCCTTGAGGTTGACGGACGGCGGTGCCGATCATATATTTTGCCAAGCATATAACATCAACATTCCCCACGAATACACTCAAAGGACTCGGGTGGCGGATGTTTGGGGAGATTTGGCACGGTATTAGGGAGGCACGGTATTAGGGAGGCACGGGACCAAATTCGGCCAATTGATTGCACCAAAGAGCGCCTCCTCGGCCTGAAACCGACGACTTTCAGGACTACGCGAAAGCGGGGACGAGTATGCAAGTGCGGAATATCTTGTGGGACGTAAGCATTGAGCTCTGCACATGTTTGATCGCTTGCGTGCGAAAAAATGACGCTGCCATCAGACGGGCTCCCGGACGCGTGGTAGCCAAGCCTTAGGACAGGGTTCAGGTCTAGACAAGTCAGTAACCCTAGAACAGACGCGTATGATACTTTAGAGGACGAGGAGGCATTGGACAGGAATGCCCGGTACGTATGGAGAATTGTCCGGAGCGACGGAGAAATGAACGCTGTCAAGCCAACATGTCTGGACATCAACACAGACGGGACAGATGAGGGGGGGGGCAAAAAATTAATTAGTCTCTTGCAGTCATCGGGATAGCTGCTGGAACGATGTTGCGGGGTTACTTAGGGTGTTGTGGTGACAGTGGCAATAGGAATATGCTTAAAGACTCTAACGAGATACCGAGCTATTGTCGCTTGGTGAGAGACGAGAAGTGATGAGTGGTGAGTGGGGTGGTGAGGTAGTGAGCAGGAGCAGTGGGTAGCTTTGGTTGGTGCTTCACCTGTATAGCTTCCCTCTTCAGAAGGCGAACTCACGGATAACACAGTGGCTACGAGCAGCCACCGATATCCCCTTTCCTCCCAGTGCAGCTGCGATTACGTCAATCAGGCTAGTATGCCTCTTGGGAAGTGCTGATGAGTGATGACCCTAAATGCTGTGCAATGACTATGAGTCAATATGTGATGCCGATGTTAAGAGTGGGAAGCTGATTTCCTCAAGGCCGAATTTCCTGCGTAATTGCTATCATCCAAGCACTTTGTATTTGTAAGTACCTAAGTACTACGAGTCAGCGTACTACTTACTAGGAGATGTCTTGTGCTAACCCACTAGATCATTGAACAGGGATCTTCGCTGGAGAGCAATTGATCGACGTCGTTTGTTCACAGACCAATAATGCCCGATTAGATGCGACTTCGCAGAATATATGCAGCTCAGTGCCTCTCTACACACTTTCCTCTTGTTTTGCTCATCTTAATTGTTCGATAGTTTCTTAGGGCATCTTACAATGACATTAATGCCTGGCTAGCCGTCCTTTCAAGCGACCAGTAGAGGGGAAAGATAACCGCTTTCACTTATGCGTAGGTGTCGGGTTCGGTGAAGCCTGTTCAAAAGCTTCGAGTAAAAGCCGATCGTATTCCTCTTTATCTTTCACCTTTTTGTGAATGAACCTAGTTGCATTGAATGCCCAGTATTTTATAGTAATCTTGAAAAATGCTGCATCATTTATATAATCCTTCGAGAATCGTGGCTGAATATGGTCGTAAAAGATCCGAAAAAGCCCAGTGGGGCTATCGAGTGCAAGAGCATACCAGAATGTGCCTTTGGTCCAGCCTTCTTGGAGTATAGAATAAGACTGGTCCCCATATTGCCAGGAACGCTTCGATATTTGCTCCGCAAAAGCCTGCATGAATTCGCTGTGCAGGCTCTCGTATGCGTCAGAATCAATCCCATCGACAGATTGGTTGGACAACCAATACGGCGGATGGATCATTTCTGCTGGACGAGAACAAGCCCATTCAAGATCAACTAGGTTTTTGATATTCCAGTCATCATCGACAAAGATATTGCTTTGATAGAGATCCGTCAAGCTCATATAAAACGGGCCTCGGCGGAGATCGGGACGGAAGAATAAGTTTCGAACAGCTCGCATCACGGTGAGACCAGCCATCTGGAACAAGGCGTCTTGAAAGTCATTGACTGCATTCAGTTGATGATGGAGGCGACTCTCATGAAAGGCAAGAATGTCACTGACATAGGAGTCAACGGTGGAATATGTAAATTCGCGCGGGATATCGACCGGAACGTGCTGATTCTCCAGGTACTGAATCTCAAGAGTAAGAGGTCTGTTCCTGAGCCTTAGATAACCCTTTTCATCCACGATGAAAGAACCAATTCTGGGTAGAGGAGTACGTGTCATGGCCAACATGATATCAGACAAGCTGCGGAAGAGGTTCATCCGCAACCTAGGATTATGCCGTCCTTGATCCCACGACGCAGACAGCATCCTACCCCTTGACATATCAATGTAGTCAATTAAGAGATATCCGACCCCTAAGAGGTCTCTCGATTTGTTGCTGTGAGCCACATATTCAGATGGGACTGGGAATCCTAGAAATCTTAAAATATGACGGCGGAGGACTTCGACTGAACGAGTCGAGAAAGGCAGGTTTTCGAGAGCAGTAAACTAATCCTTAGCAGAAGCCACCCCGATGAGAAGAGGTGCATCTACCTTCTGGCCCGTTGATAACCCGTATCCATGTAGTTGCGGAATGGGGACTTCTGGGCAATCATGCTGGAGCCAGGTGTAAGTACCAACTTCACATAGAATTTTCTCATCAGCGTTCCCTGGGTTGACGTTCTCTCCAACCCTGTGTGGCAGCGGAAAACGAAGTAGAAAGCTGGGGCGCCGCCGATTGTCTTCAACATAGATTGGGATGCAAACATTGAACGACCCAGAAAGCCATTCGCTTGGTTCGGCGATGCGGCAGCTCGTCGGAACCAAATTGAGATGGTGTGCGACCACAGTTTCAAGAAAATGGCTCTTTCGGCGCAAGTCTCCGAAATAGCTAGTCTGCTGATCCCAATAGCTCAACGAGTGCAGTATATTGGTTTCAAGTTCTTTGGCTGCAGAGTAGGTAATCTCACCCCGAAGCAGACGACGAGTTGTTGTGGTTGTTGTAGTTGTAGATGGTGACATGCTATCAAACAGAAAAGATGATGGAACCTTGCCTACCTAGTACCTACCTCAGATCACCTGGCATAGTCTTCTTTTCCAACCCAATGAGCCAAGAAGAAGGTTCTGCCTATTTAGGCTATCACGTGTATGACATGTACTCCGTACATGTTCCGGCTCGTTGAAAATGACACACCAAGGCTAGATGTTCCTCGACTATTCAACCGTCGGCAGTTTCCAACCCTCACTTTCTACATTCCCATCCGCCATGTAACTCGTTATGATAGTCGTGGGCGCTTGACACGGTGAGTGCTTCTGCTTCTGTGGAGACCGCGGTCGGACAACAAGCTTACATTAACCTGCAGACAACCGGGAGCTCACCCTTCTACTCTCCATATATCAACCAAACATGGAGGATATCAGCTTGATCCTTCACAAGCACAGTCCTCGAGGACCCAAAACAAATCATCATCCTCTGTCCGCCACGAGCAACGGATAGAAAGAAGGGTGGTGTATACCAAGCACGCCTTTTCCCGCAATTCGCGCCCCCGATTCGTGGTCGTGAGGTTGCACCGACCGCTCCTAAGCGCCCGGGAAGGACAGGACTGCATGGTGCTTGTTTGAAGAACGATTCTTCAGGGGAAAAGAGGGCAGCGACGAGCAAATGAACTGCTTAGAATCCTGCCGGGCGGCTAACAGCCTTCGATGGCCGCTCCTGCAGCCCGCAAAGGGTGGGCATTCAGGGTCCGCTGCATTATTTTTGGCAACCAAGGAACGCTCAGTTGCAGGCACAAACAGAGGCTTTCTCGCGTCGCAACAGGGGAATAAATACCCACTGTCCTCAGGCATCTGAGTTCTGTTCTTGCTTCTCAAAGAAATCATCTCCTTCTTTTCCATTTTCTTTTCTTCGGTGATGAGCCTGACCGGCTTGCTGGCAAGACCGACTTCTGCTTGACGAATTCACGTTCACTTTACTTTGCTGTTTGACATTTGACGCTCACAGAAAGAGCTGTGCCTTCTCTCGCTTCTTGTCTCTGACACCCTCAAATCTCCCCTCCAATCTTTTTCAAACCGAAGCCATGGACTCGGCATCCTCCACCGTGGCCGCCTCCTTCACCTCGACGTCGCACGCCTCCCTCGAGGCGGAGTCCAAGTTCCTCACGCGCACTCGCTTCCTCCGCCTCGTCCACCTGGGGCTGGCGATCCTCATCTTCTGCGTGGCGATCCCCACCATCGCCTGCGAGGCCGTGGCCCTGCACCACTACCGCCAGACCTCGCGCTACAGCCAAGTCTGGCTCTACCTGTGGCCGCTGAACCTCGACCTGCGCCCGGCCAAGGCCCTGCTCGCCTGTGGCAGTGTGATTGCGTTCCAGACCCTCATCTACATCATCGCTGCCCTTCTTCCATCGGTCAGTACACCGTCCTATCCCTACCACAACTGTCAAACATAGTACCTGCTAACGAATCAAAACATGCAGCCCCACTCCCACATCCGCCGACTAAACCTCCTCGCCGCAGTCACGGCCCTCTCGGGCTTCATCACGGCTCTCGTGGGGTTCGTGTTCGTGATCTACCGCCCCGGCGCGAGTGGCCACAACGGGTTCCACGATACCGAGACCCTCCATTCTTGGACTTGCAAGTGGATGGCGTCTTCTGCCAGTAGTAGTAGTAGCAGTAACGTCCCTGCGCATTTCACCAGGGACTGCGCGGTGACGCATGCCTCGTTTGTGTTGCTGGGGGTGTTGATCGGGCTGGAGATCGTGATGGGCGTCGTCGCGACGGCGGGACTGTGGCTGGAGCGGAATGTGTCGCGGCAGCGGGTGACGGAGAAGCCTTCGTTGGAGATGGTGGGGATGGTGGATACCAAGGTTGATCGGTATCCGGGGACTTGAGCGGGGTGGGTGTTCGGGTCTTCCTGGATGTTAGTAATTGAGCGACGATTGATGTTGATGATGGATGATGAATGGGGTTACCTCAAGTACGGGTTTTATAGGGGTGAATGTATAGCTTCATGGTTTTGGGGCCGGGTGGGATATAGTAAATGCTCGTTGGATGTAGGTATGTATGTGCTAGTCCGACATTAACACTTTATATCTCTGATGTAGTCTTCCAAACTCCATTCTCCTGTTCTCTCAGCTGGTAAGCCAATATCGGCTTCAAAGATCCATTGATACTGCAAATCTCAAGCCCACACATTTGAGCGAGAGTATCAAACGAACCAGTCTGTTATAAGCAGACGATCATAGTTTAGACGCAGTGCTCCTGCTCTTCGCACTATCCATCCTCATCCCCTCGTCATCCTGCTCCTCCACCTCCAGCACCGGCAACTTCTTCGGCATCATCCGCCGGGGATTGGTGCCCGGCACGACGGAATACTTGGAGAAGTCCGTGACACCGCAGTGATCGCGCAGGAAGTCCTCATCCAGCGCGAGCATACCATTGACGATATGAGGTGGAGCCTTCAAGATCCCGAGGATCGCATCGGAGAAGATAGTCTGGTGATGGTTCGTCAGCATACCACACAACCTCGAATGCCAAAATCCCATCCATAGCAAGAGGAGGACCTGGATATCTCACTGGTTTCCTAAGATCGGCTTTCGAGCGTGATTCATCGTTCCCCGCGGGATTCATCTCCGTAGCAGCCGATTGAACAGCCTGGATTCCGAATATCAGCATCAGCGTCATCACCCCTACAAATTTTATCATTTGCCTCGAGAAAACTGGAAAACCATACCGCAGCAGGCCAGATACTCGTAATGGCCATCTCCGTCTTCCCCTCCCTCACAAAATCCATCGCCAACCCGCGCGTCAACACACTCATCCCAACCTTCCCTGTTCAAAATTAGTTATGTAATCCCGCCTCAAGCCCCCCCCTCCAGCCCCAAAAGTAAGAAAGAGTCCCATACCAATCGCATACCCGGTCTTCCCCCTAAAGAACCGCGAATACACCGGCGGCGAGACCACCACGATGCGGCCGCGGTTGCCAATCCGCTCGAACACCGGCAGCACCGCCTGCACGGTCGCATACAGCCCCTCCGGGTTGACCTGCTGCATCAGCCGGAACCGCTTGACGGGGGTGTTCCGCACGGACGACCACCAGATCGCGCCCGAGTTGTACACCACCACGTCCAGCCGGCCGCCGGTTATCCGGAGGGTTTGTGCAACTAAATCGTCGATCTGGGCCGGGAAGCGCACGTCGACGGGGATCGGGTAGGCGGTGTTGGGGGTGAGGAGGTTGATCTCCTGGGCGACGGTTGTGATGGTTGAGGCGGGGGAGTTGGGGTCTGGGGGGAATTGTTCTGGATTGGTGGTGGTGGTGGAGGTGGATTTGGCGGCGATGATTACTGATGTTTGTGGCCCGGTTAGTTGAGGTTGGAAGGTGATGGCCTGGAGATTCTTGAGTGTAACTGTAACTTACCGGTGTAGTTGTTCTTCGCGAGGTCGATGGCGATTTGTCGGCCTATGCCTCGCGAAGCGCCTATGATCAGGGCGACGGGCTTGTTGGGGGATGCCATTGCTTGGTCTTTCGGGGTGTAATTGTATACGAGTAGCTTGGCGATTTTAAGATGATGGATCATCGACATCAAGGTTCCTTATATGCTACCTAGTAGGTCTGTCGATCCATGTCAAGTCAATGTCATCCTCGGCTGAGAGATTATGATTAGTCGTCGTTCGTCATGGCCGAGTCCTGAGATTCGGTGGCATGCAGGGTTCGGGGTTGAGACTTGGATATAATCGAATAAGCCAAAGAGAGCTCCTTGGAAAACTCAAAGAGTCATGCTCAGCCACATACAGAAAAACATAATCCCCACAGTTTGAAGTCGTAGCACTCATGTTCATGATGGAGACTCAATCTAAAGGCTTATCACGATAAGGGACGAAGTAGCCTCGGCTCCCGACCTTGAATATGATTGGCTTATACACTTACATAATCACCCACCTCCATCGCTCACCGCCCGGCAGAACTACACCTTTTCATGCTCCAGCTTCCCGTCTCCTTCTCCGCGCTGAAGCTTGTGAACGGACTTTATCCCACACGCATTTACTGACTCGATCTACGGCGTAACCTCATCATGGCGCCTGACGCAGAGCCCACCGCGGCAGCAGCGGATCTAATTATCGATGAAGATGAGTACAACTCCGACTCGGACTCGGACTTCCAACTCGACGACGATTTCGCCGCCCAGAACGACGACGATGCCGGTCTGACCTCGTCGGACGAGGAGGACAACGACGCAGCAGCAGCAGCAGCAGCAGACGGCCAACCCCAGGCGAAGCGGCGGAAGACGACCACAACCACCCAGGATCCCACTGCAACTGGGGAGTTAGATTCCGGCGACGAGGCTACGATCCACAAAGACAAGGCGAAGCGGAAGACTGAAGACGATGAGGAGGAAGAGGGAGGCACCGGGGGCTTTGTCCGTACCCGGGCTATGAAGATGCGCGCGTATGTTTTTAGTTTTTCTTCACATCTCAGAGACTGCTGGTCATAGGTTTGTGCTAATTTATATGTTGGCATGCGTCTAGGCAAGACGAACGCAAACCCCTCGCCAAGATCGACGGTGCGACCGTGGACGTTGATGCGCTCTGGGCGATGATGAATGCACCGGAGAACAACAACACGCTGCACGCGGGCAGCAGCAGCAGCAGCAGCAGCAGCAGCGGGAAGAACGACGACAACGCACCAACGACACAGAACGGCGACGTGGAGATGCAAGAATCCTCTACCGAAATAGAACAATCAAAACAGCAGCAGAAACCATCGAAATACGCCGAGGAGATGATCAAGATCAAGCGCACCTACAAGTTCGCAGGGGAGATGATCACGGAGGAGAAGATCGTCCCGAAAGACTCGGCCGAGGCGAAGCTGTACCTCGCCAACAATGGCGATGCGAATGTCGAGACAGTCATCACGGCGGCGGTGGAGGATGCAACCGCCACCACCACCACCGAGGATGTGGCGATCAAGCTACGGAGGCCGCTGCGCCGAGTCTCGCGGTTCGACCCCAACCCGACCGGGGCGATCAAGAAGAGCTGGGAGAAGCAGCCGGCCGCCGAAATCACCGGGCAGGACGAGAACGCCCGGGGCCCGAAGATCAACACGGTCGAGAAGTCGCGGATGGACTGGGCTGCGTATGTGGATAGTGCGGGTCTCAAGGATGAGCTCAAGGTGCACAGCAAGGCCAAGGAGGGCTTCCATGGCCGCATGGAGTTCCTGGACCGTGTGGGTGCGAACATCGAGGAGGAGAGGCGGAATGCGCGTCTGAAGGGACTATGAACAAGGGATAATCGCACCGCTTCTTCTTTCTCGTTGCATACAAATTGCAACCTCCAGTATCCTCTGGGACGGCCAATCAGAGTCAGCATGTTCGACACACGCACTCTAATGCCTATGTTGATATTGCTGTCGGGTTCCCCGTCTACGGCATCGGAAGACCGACTAGCTAGCTGCTTTCACAGGCACCGATCGCTTACACTCTGTGTGCGTGTAAGCGATCAGACTGGCGGACGAACCATCTCGCCTGCGCATAAATCTACGCCCGCGGTGAAGAAACTCCCAGACCCACTACGCCATTACGCCGTGTCAGTCTATTGACATGGCCCCATGCACTTCGCTTATGAAGCAAGAGAACTCGATTGGACCGGATACATACTTCGCATATGAGGTTTGGATGAAAGTTGCCAGCCGCCCACAGCACGCTGTGGAACCCATTATGGTCTTGACAAAACACCCCATCACCAGCGGCCGACTGGCAAGCGGCTTTCCGTCCAATAAGACTACACAAAACGCACATGTGTCTAAATCACAGATGGACAAAACTACCTAGGAACATTAAACGGGTTTCCTTGCTCGTATAGATGATGTGGACTCTCGCCATATGGATTTTCCGGGCATTGTGTTCCATCAACCGGTTCTAGGACATACTAGTGGCAGCATGTACATACAATAAAGCACCCACGAAACTTTTCACAACCCCTAACCCACTCACTCCGTTTTTCTTCAACAAACATTGTTCCACGATGTAGTCTTGGGATCACACCACCCCTCTGGTTCTACGCGAGCTGTTTAGCTCGACTTGGGCAGATACTTGATCCCCGAGCTGGGGCAGTTGCTGGTCTCCACTAGAACAATAGAAACCCATTGATTAGCATTTAGTTTTCTCTGGGAGGGGGGGGGGTCTAAAGGCTGTTCGTCAGGGACAATCCTCAACATACATCTCTCGGCCGCAACATAAGTTCCATCGATCGCATTACCCGCGACATTGAAGTAGTAATAGAGCTGAGACAGTTCCTTGCTACTGCAGTAGACGTAGGGGGCGTAGCCGTCGTGGATGGCAGCAAGGGCGTCCTCGATGTCGCTCAGCTTGTAGGTCTTGCTCGAGCTGGGGGTAATGCCCGCGTCGGCAAGAGCCTTTTGTTACTGGTTAGCTTGCCTCGATTTTCCCGTGGGTTGCCCGAACCAGATGGGCCGGGGGGATGCGGGGCAGAAACGCACAGTGTAGGAGTCCAGGGTCTTGAAGAGCGAGACGGTCTTGTCAAAGAAGTCGCCGACCTCCTCTTGAGCGGTGTAGTCGGTGTAGCAGCTGGGGTCGATGGTATTGATGCAGGTTCCTACGAAGTAAAAGTTAGTTATAGTTGAGTTTTGAGGGAAAGCTCGGGGGGTTTCATAAGTATGCCCGGACTAAGAAGCGTACGTACCGTGCTTGGCCCACTCGTGCTCCCAGAATTCTTCGTTGCTCTCATCGTCGCTCTGCCAGTAAGTGTCCATGTACTCGAGCAGCTCGGTGCGGCCCTGTGCTTCGAGGATTTCCGTGATGTTGGTGTACGCGCGCGAGGCGTCGCAGTTCGATTGGTAGGTGCCGTCGCAGTTGTCGGGCCTGGAGTTCGGTTGCTGTCAGCCAATCCGTGAAGTCTTTCAATGGGCAGTGGGGAAAGAGTGGGCGTACCAGAGACCGTGGATGGTCCAGGAGTCACTGGGGCCGGTGACAGGGTCAGTGTCCCAGAATTGGGTCTGGAGAAGGGAGCCACCAGGGTATTCGAAGCAGCAGGAAGCCTCGTTGTCGGTCTGACAGCTGAGAGGGCTATCGGAGGAGCAGGTGTCAATGGTAGCCAGGACACCGGAGCTGAGCGCACTCAGGGCGAAAACACCCATGGCGGGCAGAAGAGACATTTGAGGCATCGTGCTGGATTTGAAAGCGAGTAAGGGTGGTGTGGAAAGCTGCTGAGCGACCTGCGGATGAATAGACAAATGAAACAAGATGCTATAGCAGACGACAACGAGAGGAGTTGGCGCTACTTATACGCCGGTGATGGACAATTGTCCCGCCTGCCTCGCTCATGCCGCATACCCCTCGGCTGTGGTGGAGAGTCTCTCTCTCTCTGCATCGTGATGAGGGCTGATAGCAACATGTGCTGATAAGGAATTGCTGATTCGCCAGTCCGACCGATAATTGAGTCGGGAGTCGGACGATGCTGTAAGGACCCGCAGGGGGACTGGGGGTTTGTGGACGATGAATGGCCAATTGAGCGCGACAGCGTCATTCTGCAGCCGGAGACTAGATGAAGCTACGACGGGACTCCTTCGGAGTAGAAGCAATGGGAGCAGAAGCCAAACAATCGATAAAGGTTGGTCAAAGTAGTGTGCATTAGGATGGGTTGCATTGCTCTTCCCGTCGGGGCAGCTGACGATCTGATTCGCTGTGGAGGGAAGATCTTCAGCTTCTAAGGACCGGCTTAATTTGGAGAACTCCATCTGTTCATCAACCAGGCTGGGCGAATGGACTTGGAGAAGCCATGTTGGGTGATGCAGTGTCAACACCTGCTGCCAATCACTTGCGATGTGCGATTTTGATGGAAGCTCGCGGCAGGCCCAGCACGGAGTAGATAATCTCAGTGGATGTCTGCGTAAATTAAAAGCTGTCTATTCATCCCTGCAGAGGTGTATAGAGCACGATAACGAGGCATTGACTTGGCATCGGAGCTCCCCGCCCATGCCTTGTCGATAATATTCTGGTGTGTCGGAGCATGCCATGACAATAAATTGATCGAAGGTGAGAGAGGTATCGAGCGATAAGGCCGAAGAGCCATTGTAGATAGAGCCCGTCAACTAGCAATCGAGACATATGGCGACCTCGGACCCTGATAGCCAGATGATGTGGGACGCATGCTGCTCCTGTGTATCGCACAGAGTCGAGTGCCGTAGCTTTGAAAGTGATCTAGATGGTACCGAACCGTCGAGTCGCGGCAAGCCAGATGGAAGAGAATCGCGGAGTAGAAGAAGAGAAGAGACTCACTCGATGCTCGGCCCGCACTGCAGTAGAGAAACAATATCTCAGCCTAAGGCATCGACAATACCAACAATTTTTTGAGTCACCGTAGCGCACGCCCTATACCAGACATTGGATAGAAGAAAAAATTAAACACTGAATGAGCCATTGTTTACATGTCAGATCATTGCAATCAGACAAATCAAGACAATATCTACCAGATACCTGTTCATCATTCATCAATTATCCCCCAAAGCACAACGATGATATCCTCAACGTCGAAGCCCAGCCCCCCGCTCCCCTACCGCATCATCCCCGCCCACACCCCCGAGCATCTTTCCGCCATCCGCTCGCTCTTCCGCGCCTACGTCCAATGGCTGAACATCGACCTCACCTTCCAGGACTTCGAGACCGAGCTCAACTCCCTTCCGGGTAAATACGGGGCCGCGTCCGGAGGAGACCTTCTCCTGGCCTACAGCAGCAGCAGCAGCACAGAAGAGCACAACATTCCTCTGGGCTGCGTAGCTCTCCGTCCCATTACTCTACGATCATATCCTATAGAGCCTAGTCATGATGCTGGTGACGATAGACCGGAAGTCAAGTACTGTGAGATGAAAAGGCTGTATGTCTCCCCTGAGGCACGGAGGATGGGGTTGGGGAAGGCGTTGGTGCAGGCGGTGGTGCAGAGGGCCAGAGAGCTGGGGTATCAGGCCATGCGACTCGACACGCTGCGGACCATGGAGGGGCCGTTGAGGTTGTATCGGGCGGCGGGGTTTGTGGACGTCGGACCGTATTATGAGACACCTTTGGTGGAGGAGACGGTGTTTTTGGGGTTGAATTTGAGGGGGACGGAGTGATGGCAGAGTGTAGATTGTGGGTGCGCGGTGGTGGTGGTGGTGGTGGTGGTGGTCGTCGTCGTCGTCGTCCTCTGCGAATTGGCGGAGTCCGACCGCCGGGGTTGGCTTCTCACTCAGTGAACAGTCTCGTTAGGCAGCAATGAAAGGGCACGAAATACCTATTTATGCATTTCCTACGAAGAAAAGATAAATGCGTGAAAAAGACCGACAACGCACAGACATATCTTGTCGTTCTCTGAGTCTCCAACAACACATACAAGTATCGGCCGCCGACTAGCTACTTGTCCTCTCCGAACTCAGACTGTTGAGCTTGATATTTTGGAATGGAGCACTCATAGCAGACATCTTAAGCCTGCATCATGCCAAAGAGAAAGAGTCATCATAGTTCGAGAAGCCAATCGAGGTACCATAGCCAAAGGTGACCATTGAACCCGGGTTCGCCCCGTGTGGAGTTGAACCATCCAGACTACCGCCCCGCAGTGGCCATTCGCCCGCTCTACCAACATCAAAGTAGAGAGTTGAGGGTCAGGGGCAGTGGTAGTCATGGGTCGACCATTGTCCGCGGGTCCCATTGCGGAAGCACAACGATTGCAACCAAGAGAGAAAGAAAACAAAAGGACGAAGGAATTCGCGCAGTTGGAGAAGTGGTTTAAATCGTACGATCTGAGGTAAGCAGGTTTGGCGTGTTGGTCTGTGCTGCGCGGCGGCCTGCTTAGTGATGAGGTCAGAGGATCACCGGTCTGCCTAAGGCATAAACTGACCATTATACATGGAATTGCATGTGAGCGGTCACAACATCTCCAGGACGGTTGTTCACACAAATGAAAAATTTTCTCCCAAAAGGCTCGAAATACTGCTTTTGAGGCTGCATTGATTCCATTAGACTGACTCGTAAGCCTGGTGCCACAATTCATATCCGGTCTCATCCCATTATCTTTCGCAGAGGTAATTATTACCTGTATGCCACACTGCCGTTCTATGAGGCAGATTATAGTGGGGAGAGACTCGATGGAAGTAGAACTAGCAGGTCAAACCAAGGCAGGTGCTACGCTAAGGCACATACTACTTACTTTGAATTAGATAGTCCGATATATTGAGAGCCACCTGAGATGACGATGCCATGGCAGGCTTGCAGATTCTCCGTGAGTGGGGAAGGGAACTAGTTAGTGCTTCAACAGACGCGCGCACTATGGTCTGACCGAGTACTTAGACTGACTGCGTTGTCTATTTGTAGAGGCGTACATAGTTTGGTGGGTGCCTTCTGACTAATGGATGTCGAGAAGGACGAACGGTGCTTTTTGTAGATCGTGCAATGGGAGAGTGCATGGAAAAAGACCCCCGGGGATTCCCGGTGATCGACAGGCAGCAACAAATCCCGGATTATGGTAACTCAGACAGGAAAAGATTTTTTGGGATTGGTATGTGCAGTCGCGCAATACTACGGTCTCGTAGAGGAGAGAGGAGGTTAGCTGGGATCCAGTCCAATTCAATGTAGATAGGGCAGGCGACCATAATGGCTGCTGTGGTTTTCTCGATCTAGGAGCTGCACGTGAGCATATGAGGTTGTCTCACCCATGTATACAGCAACCACGCTTGAGTTGATTTTCCATGCACAGCGCGGTATTACAGGCTCAATCGACCTGCGAACTTGTGTAGGCAAAGCCATGTACGACAGCTACAATTGATTCCTTCATTAGAAAGATTATCTATGAGTTCGTAAGTTCGGTGAGATGCTCGTTGCATCAGCAGTTCTAACGAGCCCTAGTAGACCAAGTTATACCTGGAACTCGATAGGCATAGGGACCACAGAGCCAGAAGGGGGAAAATAAGTGGCAGTGGCGACACTGAGGATATGTGGATCACGCGGTCATCACGCTACAAGATGCATGAGCGGAAAGAATGGCACGAAGATCGCCCATGGCGTGTTCGAAGAGGCATCTAAAACAAAAATCACCCCGCTCACACCAGCACTCAATCTGAGGGCGTGTAGTTTTTGAGGTAGTATCTAAACGTTGTAGATGGGTGGTGGCTCTGGGATACCACCTAGTACTTTGAGTCTGATCTGATGCAGGAGCTCTCTTGAAAGAACTGAGGCTGATAGGAAAAAGTCCTGTGGCATTTCTCATCTGTGTTGGCGCATGCCTGAGCAGTAGGTAGTAGACAAGCCCACAAACATTGCCCAGGTACATACATACATGAGTACATCGCACGCTCAAATCTTCTTGGAACGCCAACCTTGACACAGCTTGTATAATCCAAGAGCCCCCCGAGCTGTATGCGAACTAGTCTAAATCGGGGCGGGCCCTGCAGAACACGCATGCGCATATGGCTCTCCCATCCAACACCGTTCATGCCAAGGCCAGTTCCCGATGGCCGGCATGGCCTCTTACAGTAAGTCGCCAATCTGGACAGGACGGTTCTGCTGCACCGATCCACATTTGGTGACACGATCTCACACCTCCACAGGGGCAGGAGTTGGATTCCATTCCACATGCACCTTAAGTATCAGTTCCCGAAGACTGAAAGTTCGCGTAGTGAAGGGGTAGCCTTTACCCTTCCCTTGAGTTGTACAGCACCCAGGACTGAACTTGACGCGTCATGGGCTAGAAGCCAAGCCCAGGGCCACGTACCAGGAATTGGTACTTGGTACTTTGAACACTAGGATCCTGCTGGCACTCAGCTAGCATGAAGTACATTACAGGTACTTTCCTAGAGGCTACAGAATACCCAGAGCAGAGATGTACTTCATAGCACAAATTCGATGCCCGCCGGTTCGCGAGACCGAGGCAGTCGAGCGTTATTCTCGACTTGCAAAGAATTACCAATCGAGTATGACTTCTGGCAGAATACATCACACGTTGAATGCTGTAGCTTTATCGAAACGAACGGAAGCCGAACTGCATGTATAAGACTTCTTATGGACGCTCACCTTCAACCTGACTCCATGATTGGTCATCAAGGGTCAATGTCACGAAGGCCTGTCACGCAAACGGCTTGGAGCTGGACCGATCTGTGTAGCTGATCTCGCGTTTGCCATGTGCAACACTGGAACGATTGTCTAGGGAGTTGGTAAGTCGAGAAGATATGAAGCCAGGGTTTGAGAACAGACGAGCTAGTCTATGATGCTAGTCAGCTGTATTGAAAAGCACGCGTTGTAGATCAAGCCGTGTAAACGGAGCTTGTATTATCGGTAGTGATAGGCATCTAGTGGTTTGCTGGGCCTCTGTGAAAATGGACATAGAAAGCAGTCTGGATTCCCGCAGTGTCGCCCACGGACAGAGCGATAGTCCAAAGGGGAAAGATGAGTGCAAATTAATAGACGGTATGTTCCACCACATGGATCCCGAGATATCCATCGAATTCAGCGTGTATCTCTCCCGATCGAATGGTAAGACCGGACGGCAGAGACTCGATTAGCGGTGTGCCGTGGCCCAGGAATCTGGGACGAATCGGGGGAAAAGAGTCAGATGCCAGCATTCCGTGCGACCTACCCCATGGAGGCGGAGATATGTGCTGCTGTAAGCACCATAAATAAATGTCCAGGGAGATGAATCCAATATCTTCAGGTCGCAGACCTCGATAACCACGGGACTTGGCATGTGGGACTATTGTTTTCTAGGCTTCAGAGGCTTGAGGTCATCCCGGTTGCTGGAACCAAGAGTGGGGAGAAGGAAGCCGAGAGATAATCGAGGCAGTGCAAAAGTCAAAAAAAAGAGAGAGAAAAAAAAAAGAAAAGTGATGCGGGGATGGGGAGTTAAGGACGGAAAAAGGAGAATGATTGATTGTGTTTGTGTCTGAGAGCAAGTACAGTACTCCGTACTATCTAGTACGTACTCTCAGTATGTGACTAGCCATCGGGAAGATCTGGCATTTCCATTGCAGTGGAGCAGTTGCTTTGAGTATCCATGATGAGTACTCGAGAGCCTGGAGGTCTCCGTACTCCGTACATACGTACATACATAGGTACTCCGTAGTAAGCTCTGGGTTCCACTGGCAGTGGATGTGTTTGTCTGTTTTGAGTCTAGACTGCCTGAGGTATCGGTAAGATAGAACAGATCCATGGGAAGCGGCAGACCTTCCGCCAATAGGGAATCTGCCAGCAAGTGGAGAGACAGGGCCATCACTGAATGTACACATCTCCACCTTTTTTTCAACTAAACAAACTAAATGTTTTTGACATGATACATCCACCCATTGATCCTCAATTCTACGCAAATCCATCCATTTTGCTTCCCCTGGACACGACGGGCTATCATTTTGAGACAGACTTTACCTCGGCCCGATCTTGCTAGCCCCACGCCTGGGCCAAGATGATGTGTTCCAGCTCATCCAACGGACTCTTTAAAAACCACGCTGAGCCATCGAATCTCCACTTGACAGTACATTGTATGGGGGGTCAGAACCTCCAAGAGAGAAAAAAAAAAAAAGTAAAAGTAAAAAGAAAGTCAAGATTTGATCCATCATAATACAAGACAAAGGAAAAGGTTACTGCATCAGACCTGACAGAAAAAAAATTAGCTCTTTCATCCCTTCGTTCTCTTTCCACTGGCGTTCCATAGCTTTCCTTCGGGCTTCCATCCACAGTCCATCGGTTATTAGCTCCTATAATGGTGTCCAGTAGTCAATCAGATCAATCAGATCAAGCATAGCAGACAAACAGCGGTCACTTGAAGTGTACAAAACTTTCCCATGCTTTTGTTTCAGCGTTCAATGCATTATTATTCGATATAGGGATAAGCCTCCTCAGGCTTCCAAAGACACATTTTTTGGGCGATGGATGGAGAAATGAAAGAGGGATAGGAAACGAACTTTGAAGAAAAGGAAAAGGGATATGCAACATCAAAACCAACAAAGGAAATTATCCGGTGTATATAACCAGGTATGTTTTACAACAAAAACGCCGCGAAGCGCCGACCGGGTCTGCCTGGCCCGGCGTGTCTGTCCCCATCTAAGACCAAAAAGGAGAAATGGCAACCTGTTCGCCAAGGGTATCATGGTTTGGTCCGCCTGTCCTAATCTTCCGCCCGCGTTCAATCGTCCCACTCGACACTCATGTGACGCGTGCCGGGCATGGTCTCGTCGTGCTTTTGAGAATAAAGCGGTCGCCCATCAGGGGTAAGCTGACCGCGATACTCTGGGTTGTAGTCGGGACTGTTTTCGTCTAAGGTGGCGACGTAGCGGTTGCGGCCGCCTCGCTTGCTGTGGGTCTTCGTATAATGTGCGTTAAGGTTGTCACTGCGGGAGAATGCGCGATGACACCCAGGGACCCAGCAAACATGGGGCTTCTCCTTGGAGTGGCTCTTCATGTGTCTCTTCAGGTGCTCTTGTCTCTTAAAGCGTCCCTTGCACCCGGGCTCTTTGCATTTAAATTGCACCTGCTTGATAATAGATGGTAGGTTCTCCAGGCTCATGCTCTGCTTGGAGGCTTGTTTCCGGGCAGTCTTGCGAGAGGGCTGACGCTGCACTCGAACAAGACCGTCCCGGTAGACGGGTGATTGACTAAAGTCATCCATGTAGTCCATGCTACCGGACAGTCGAGAGATAGGAGTGTCCGATCCAGAGCCACTACCCAGTGAGCAGGACCGCACTGGAGTGGCTGGGGTGTGTGCCTTGAAGGTACCGAGTGATGCTGAGAATTCCGAGTACGACGGAGGTGGGGTGACCGGGGCAACCTGGGAGGGCGCAATCGTCTGTGGAGCAATCGATTCTGCGGGCGGAGCCATCCAAGGAATCATATTTCCCATTGACATGGAAGTCGGAATCCGTTCATGTTGATGATGGAAGATGGAGCGCGATAGACACGGGTTGGTTGCAGATTCTGGAAGATATGGTGCATGGTGCTGGCGATAATTCGGGCGAGCCATTGTGGTGTAGTGGTGCATATGCGGAGGGTACGGGAGCCCTTGTACTCCATGCTCGTATGTTTTTGGGGCTTCCGAAGGGATCCAAAATTGTTCAACATTCTCATCATATCCAGACAAGAAGTCGGTCATCGGCATGCGCTCCTGGGGTTCCATATTGGAGTAAGGCATACCCATCACATCGTTCGACGTCATACTGGCCAAGCGAAATGCACTGCGCATGGGGGTCGATCCGCTGTGCCGCTCGTAGGCCTGACTGGTGAATGATCCGCCCTCGTGCCAGCCAGGGGACTGCAATGACCCGTGACTATAAACACTGGTAGGCGTGGTCTTTGGTGAATCGAGAGGCGAAAAGCTAGTCATGGAAGGGCACTCGTTCGAGCCCAGGGATGTACAATCAACTTCGACGGTTAGGCGATCAGACAAGCTACCCTGGGGTCTCATCTCTTCGTTCTCCTCACGGTGTTTGCGAGGTGGGGCAGGAGGAACTTCGAGTTTGGCACCTGTCCGACGTACGGTTTAGTTTTGGTTGGAACGTCACAAGCTGATGCGGGGAGGTGATTGCAGATGGGAGCTCCACGAAGTTGGGAGAGAACAACAATATAAGGAAGTTGAGTAGTGATGTGTACAGCGTCAGATGCGGGTATATGACACAACAAGCGCGGGTTGGTTGGGTTATTATTAGTATATTAGGGAATGTGGCAAGGTCCGCTGAAAAGGTATACAAGTAGTGAACGGCAACGGAGGACCAAGATCGATCAACAAACAACTATCGGCGATCTCAACAAGAGATAGAGAGGGACAGTGAGGATGAGTTCCTTAGAGAGTGATGGATGTGCTGAGCAGGATGCACAAGCAATAGCAAGAATGAAGGAAGGCCAACCTGGGTTGGGAATAGAGCTGAGAAAGAAAGAGAGGGTGCGAGGTTGGGGAATGGAGGAGGACAGGCGAGGTGAAATAAACAAATCTCCCGGTCATATATTGTGAAGGGAACAGAAGAGCCGGTCGCACTTACAGTTAGAAGTCATTGCTTAGCTAGTCCCCAAAGGAGTAGCGAGGGAAAGGACCAGAGTCAAATTCAAGAGGCGCGTCGCGTGCCTTTGGAGAGCCTACGCAAGGCCAGGAATGTAGACTATAGAGTTTCTCTAGTAACCGCGACAAGTCCCGCTGGAAGGGGAGAGAAAAGACGTCTTCGATTGGTAGAAACCCGAGTCTCGAGTCAAACCGTTTCCTAGGAGGCGCGATTGTCTCTGGATTAAAAGACAATGAACAAGGTGGAAGTAGACGTAGTCGACGAGAGGAGGGGGATAGACGTGATCACCGCGATGATGACGGAGGGGGGAGGTTGGATGGGGGTGGATAGAGATCGATAGGTCGCCCTGTAGACGCGGTGTTCTCGATCCTGTGTTCCCACGACAAGCGGAAGTAAGTGCGAGAGGGATGGGAATAACGGTCGAGTCGTAGAGGATGAAGCCGAAATGGGTTGTCTGTGTCTCAGTTGCAGCAGAAGGATGTTGTAGTTATAGGGAAAACGGTACAGTCCAGCAAGGGGATAATGGAGACAATTGATTTGAAGACGCAGGTCAAGTGGAAGGGATGTCTTAGGATTATCGATAGAAGCGTAAATTTGTCTAATATTGCACTTGTGTTCCAAGGTCGAAGGGTTGTGCCTGGCGGAGAGAGGGGGGGGAGGGAGGAAGTGGTGGAGGTTCCTTTGTTGGCAGGGGAAACCGGGGGACGAAAGGACTCAAGTGGGAGGTTAAATCTGTTCTATTATATGACCGAGTTACTGGATTAGGTGAAGGAGCAGAAGAGAGAACAGCGTGCAAGTGTGAGCTTCTTTCCTGTCGCCCCATCCCTCACTTGGAAGAAAAGAGGGAGGGGGGTGGGAAAGATGGTTTAGAATTCTTTGGGAGAAGAAGTAATTGTTTTTCCTTCGAATTTATTTTTATTGCGAGTTTATTTTCTTTTCGGGGTTCGCTGTTATTCCCTTACCCTGAGTGATGTTATGATTAAGGTATTTACTCTAACAGTCTTTAATTTGATTAATTATTCTTCAAACTACTACGTTGAATCCACACTCGCCTTCCTCATCTTGCTGCCTGATACCTGCTAAGTATGTCGAAATCAATCAATCATTCTAGTTTTAGGTTGAATCTACACTCAAGAGACAAAGAAAACACTCAAAGATTAAAACCAATAATCCTATTATGTGCTAATGGATCCATTTCCTTGGTTTGCTCTTGCAGTGTAATTTGTCCACATCCACTCCGGAAATCACAATATGATCACAGATCTGGGTGTCTAATTCTGTCCGGTCAAGTGGATCGTCCCATGGCTTGACTGGGTCCGCCTCATGCACCTCGAATCATCACCTCGAGAATGGACAGCAGATCATGATCGTAACAATCTTACTTCAGACTGTATCGGTGACCGTAAATTACCTCTGGCAGATGCAATGCACCCGACTCGGGGTTTTCTTCCCCCTCCTCTCTCTCATCTCCTCGACTGCTGGTATACCGCAGGATGTGGCCGCTGTAATGTAGGCGACTGGGCGAGTGGTCAATCGGGAGATGAGAACCAGATTAGAGTCAGCCAAACAGAGTTCATTGCCAGAAAGTGACAATCAAGCGAAAGAACCAAAACAAAACAAGACTGAGCTAGACGATACTAGAAGAGAAGAGCGAAGAAGAAGAAGAATAACAAAAGAAAAGAAAATGGAGGAATGCATGAGGCGCAGATGTGGGAGGGGAAGAACCACTGATGGAATGTTCGAACGTCAGAGGATCGCGACCACTAAGGGCAGGTTTAGCTTCTGGGGAGAGCCCTGACTAAGTGGTTAGTGGACAGGCAATAAGTTAACTAAAAACTAAACTTTAACGCGGATCATGGAATTGGATCATCGTCCGTCAATCCTCCAGATGCTCGGGATCTCCCCCGGGTAGACTAAAAGTTATCCATCCATACCAGCCATACCTTAGGTTGTTTAGTTGGTAAGTACTGTGCTTCCCCCACCACTTCAGTTGCTACCAGGTACTAACTACCTAGTAAATACTAACCATTCCCCCCCCAAGCCTCCCCCCCCGGCATTTCTTCATCGGCTATCGAAAACTAAGTCTACCTGGACAACGACTATGAACAGCATCCATGATAGATATTCAATTATTACGTGTTTTTCAAATCTTACCTGGATTTTGAAACATTTGTACCACCAGACTCCCCAATCAGCTATGGTAAAGAATACTGGAGGTTTGCTAAAGTCCCTGGAGCCTGGGTCGATCGGCAATGTTGCTGATTCACCATGTGGAGTAGGAGGTTTGCATTTCGACATTTCGCACTGGAATCTCTAAGATCGAAATAGTAACTTAGAGTGTTCAAGCACCGATTGAAATTCGTGGGGATAGCACCAATGATAGTCGGAATAATCCTGGTAGGCTGGGACAGTGTAAAACAAGCGCCCCCCCCCCCACCCGCCGCCGCCTCAGTTATCGTCAGTGTTATCTATGTATGCACTGTACATACTGTACATAGTAGTATGAAACTCCACACCGAGAACCACGATACTACCGTTCCCCTCCCCATTCTTACATGCTGCCAGTGGACATTCGCTTTACCAGCCCTAATGATATTGGCTGCAGTTTCTAGTGCACCGGCCAGGTACGTTCTCGACGCCACAGGTTTCCCAAAGCATCATCGATCGTCTTCTGGTTTCAACGCCACCGTCTAGACCACTGTCAAACCCCTCATCGTCCGAGACTCAGTGAGAGATTATCATACTTTTGTCGGGTGCAAGGCTCTGAGGCACATCAGCAATGAAGGCAGAACGTTTTTTGTCCCCTCCCGGCTTATCCATCCAGGATCCGGCTCCACTCGGTCATATGCATAGTGAGCGTATACCAAAGAAGGAAACCCGCATAGCCGGCGGCGTGCTGTCACCATTCATTGAGTGCTAGCAAACTACATTTTGCCTCACTCTTTCCTCAATTTCAGAACCAAGTTCTGCGAAAAGAGAGAAGGGAGAAGGGAGAAGGGAGAAGGGAGCGCGATCCCAAATTACTATATTGAGCAGAGAAGGGGGAGAATCTGGAGTGAAGAAGAATCAATACCGGACAATTTATTCCCATGCAATCGTCCCCCACACAGCAAGAGGAGCCCGAGGAGACCGAATCCCGTCTCGGGAATTCCCACTGGGCACCGTGGAGATCTTACCCTATCCCACAGAAAATAATAAGCCCATCTGGCTCGGTCGAACCTCATTTAGGTTCTCCGAGGATAGTACTCTCTTTTTTTCTTTTGGTACAGGACGTTCCCAGCCGCCGGCAGCGGGAGTCTTTCCATCACTCACGTTCAGAATCTAGTTCCCAGGCGTTTGCTTATGTTTGGTCTGTGCGAACCCGGCCTGGATTGCAGATAGGCCATAACCCTCAGAGAAAATTGAAACCATATCATCGTTTCTTTTTTGCTTTGTCTTGCGGACAGGCAACAAGTTCATTTGACAAGCGCCACCAGCAAGCGCGAGCCAGATTTCGAAGGACCTATCCTACCGACTATACGTACATTACCATTTTACTACTGAGTGTGTCCAGATGCTTGCTGTAACCTCATTAACAAAAGAAAAAAAAACATTGAACCAAACATAGTAAGGTGAGAAACCCTCCCAAGAGCCGTGCGCGGGGGTTGCCCAATGTAGAATGACGGTTGAGCTACTACGAAGTACTAGGACGAGCTATGGCCTCACTCGAACCATGGTTCATCGCGGACATACCCCCAGGCAATCCCCCACCTCTCCCGTCCCTTGTCTGTTTAAGATAAGGAGCCACCAGCCAAAAGGTACTTCGTACTGTATTCCAAAACGGAACACATCCTCGAATATTTTATGCCGTTTAAGAGAAATCGAGCTCGAGAGCCAGGAGATTCTCAGTAAGCATTATTAGAGAGCGGTATGCTTAACTAACACATTGCTTGGCTGGAAATGAAAGCCGGGTTGGTGCAGGTTTGGAGGCGGTTAGATTATTTTGCAGTCGCGGAATCTGGAGAGTCAGGAAATGGATGCCTCAGACACACACACACACTCTCTCTCTCTCTCTCTCTCTCTCTCTCTCTCTCTCTCTCTCTCTCCCTTTCTACGGAGCACCTTTCTTTCTTACCCTCTCTTTTGCACGGAGGTGGAGACTTCAGTCACTCACTGACTGGTACGGAGTACTATAGTTAGGGACGGACCAGACAGGGACTAACCCAGTTCGGAGATCGGCTCACCAATTCTCAATGAGGAATGGACCAAGTGGGTGGGTGAGTGAGTGGAGAAGGGGAAGTGCGACGTGAAGAGCAGCCGACAGGCGCTTTGGCCGGCGATCACTGATCAGACGCACATCATCATCCTCCCTAAGCCGAACGGGATCGTCCAGTCGCTGGATGCGCAGCCAGACTGAAGTCTGCAGGTTTGAAATTCGGCCATCTTTCACCAGCCGACCAGCCGCACCTATCATAAACTTCCCAGCCTTGCCAGATGCCAACCGCCACTCGGACCCTTCGCTCAGGAACGCTCCGACAGAACCTGGCCTACCAGCTTCACTCGCTATGGAATGTGGGGAGGTGAGACGATATCCTTTAAGCCCCAATAAAGGCAGAGAGGGAACAAGAAAAGGTTCCATCTGTTCTCAAACATCCACAATATGGGCGACGGTGTCACGACTTCTCGCCTGATACATGATCGTCATGCCTCTGGCTTGTCCGACAGGCCAAGTGTTGCCCCCCGAACCAAACGAGACTCGACGCTCGATGCGGTGACGCCTACCCTCTCTTTCTCACCTACTGACGATGCATCGCTCGGAGAATCCCACTCTCAACGGTCGCTCTTTCATACTGCAGATGGAATTGGACGAACGGCACTGTCGATTATGAGACACTAGACGGCTACTGGACGGAATAGTTCCTTCAACATACATCGAAGAAGGTTATTTCTAGACCCGCTTTTTTCTTTTTCCTCTTTCCTTTTTCTGTCTTTGCTTTTTCCCTCTCTCTTTTGTTCTTTACTTCTTTCGGTTTCTGCTGATGATGGGGCGCTGCCAGCAAGATTCCAAGGTTTCTGACCTGTCACGCGTCATTCGTTGCTTCGGTCCTCACAACGCCATGCGAAATGAGCTCCAAACTGGACAGATCATTCGTACTGAACACGTTGCTTGCATTCCCTCAAACTGAGAGGATTCAGTAAATACTGGGCTGGCTTTTTGTCATACGATCAAGCCTAGCACGCATTGTCCGGTTTGCCGCTGAATCCAACTGCGAAACCCCTTATTGCTTGTATCCTCCGAACATCGTGGGCTCTCCCTGAAGAATCCTCGTCAGAAAAGATATTCCACTGCCTTGGGTCTCTCGACTCAATCTCACTTTCTTAGCTTTCGACACAAAAAAAGGGGGGAACAGAAAGAAAAAAAAAATGAAAAATAAAAAACCCTCGCACATAAGTCGACTGTCGAAGGATATCGTTCTATCAGGAAATGTAGTTGCTAAAACTCGATCCAGGAGCGCTCGAACCTCACTAGACCCATCGTACAATATCACGTTCGATACCTCGAGCAAAAACACATGGACTTGGTTGCAGTCGAGAGTGGTAGTTATGCGGTGTACACTGCGGGCACCTTATCGATATTAAACCTTGGCCTAGTCCCTGCGCTGTTACTACCATCTCACCTGGATTTACGCAAGAGGCTCGAATTATTGTCTCCATCGCTACTGCATAATCCTGTCTATTAAAGTTACTTGGAACGTCTGATGTGGGGTTGAGTCCAGGCACATTGTATGAATGACACTGTCAGTGCTCGTAGCGAGATATCCAAGCGCGACAGAAAGCTCATCATCCTTATGGATATGTCTTCGTCGACGTCGTTGACCTATGTACTCTTCATGTTTGATTGTCCGGTAGACTAGCAATTAGTCCCCCGCTAAAGGGGGGGTAGTTGGTATCCGGTGCCACTAAGAAACGGGATCTGTGGTTTGACAGCTCATCTGTCCCTACTAGGGCACCCCCAATTGCCGGGTTCTAGTTAAACACAACACTCGAAAGTTGACTCAGTACTCTCCCAGACCATTCATACCGCTGGTTTGAAATGGGTAATCCAATCAACACTCGGTATTAGAATCAGATGAATCTTTTGGATAGATAATAATAACATGTATACGGAGTATATGGAGTATACCGGGGACAAAAGAGAGTAGTATTCCGCCATTGCCTAGTAGCTAATACTTACTCAACACGGAGACTGGCAGAATGGAGAAGGCGGAAAAGGCAACCCAGCCACAGTACATACGTACTGCTGCGCCTCGGCAGTTGAGCCACACCTAGTTGGGTCTTCCCCCGTCTCTCTCTCCCTTCATAGTGCTGGTAGTACTCCGTACTCCGTAGGTACTCCGTACCTCCGTACAGTACATAGTACATGCATGCAGTACCGTACCGTACCTCTCGGTAAATGGACGGACCCCCTCCCTTCTTTACCTTCCTCCAAGCTTCATTTCCCCGTCTGAGCAACCTGCATCGTCGATCCAGCTCGCATCATTCAGACAGCCAAGAACTGGAAAAGCCACTGCCTCAGCCGCACAAAGGCAATCTCCACCAGTCACCTACAGTACCATACTGTATGTACTGAACAGTACGGAGTACTTTGTTATCGATATCGTCCCGTCTTGGAACCGAATTTCGCACATCTCCTTCCAGGGCGATTCTATTGATCGTTTTTGTAAACACACGAGGCTCTCTACCTTCGAATGCGTGAACCTCCGACCATTCGGTTAATTGATCTCCTTGCTGCCCGTCTGACTACCTCTTCGCCCTATTCTCTGACTATTTCCGTTCCTAGAAGAAATGACAACAGTGACGTCAACGTAGCCGGTGTGGCTGTCTTATCGCCAGAACTAGCTGCTATGTACAAACTAGCCTCCACCGAACCCCGGGTCTTCTCTTCTCTGCTTTAGAGACAAGCTACCTACCTACCCACTTGGCAAGACTTGCTCTATCGAGTCGGATCGCCAAGGAACAAACCTTCTCCGCTCACTGCCGAACTCCTTACAACGGTGCTGGTGCATCAAGTTCCTTGATTCTTCCCGACCGCTTCGGAAATGCATCTGCATGGTCAGCTGATGTTGCCAACAGTTCCAGACTAGCGTGGCATACGAAAGAATTTGTCTACCGCTCTTTGACCGATTGGCCACTTGCAGAACTAAAGCAGACACAGGGCTTGAACGCCATTATCGAGGTTAAAGCAATCGTCTTCAAGCTACCTGTCCGCTGCGGTCGCCGTGAAACTACTCCGATATCTGAGAAGACGCAGGTGAGCTGTCCTGAAAATTGGTGACCCAACTGAGAACCCCTGCAGCACGGGCTTGTGTGTTGCAAGGAGTCGGGGCCGGGAAATTCAACCGTGCAAGGGTTCCTGCGGTGATTTGATCGATTCGAATCTACTAATACCGCTCCCGCCAAGGCCGTGGTAGATCTTGCTTTTAAATGATCAACATCTTCTTCATTGAGAACTTGAGCACGGAGTAAGAGCAGCCAATATATTGAAACTTGGTTAAGCCAGTACTCATGGACTACGTTCTTCCGTTCCGAACGCGGAGAAATTGGCTCGACTGGAGATCATTCAAGGAAAAGATGCAGAAGAAAAAATATCAACGGCCGACCCCGCTGACTGAAATCCTTTAGTTCCGAAAAGACGTTGGAGATCTCCGTCTTGAAACCTTGTGAAGAATCATCATGACTACGCTAGCCCTGGTCTTCTCGAAATTCTCAATCTCCCTTCCCTTCTTCACGCCTGTCGGGGAGATAGGGTAGCACCTTGCGTCTGTTCTTTGCTCTGAGTCTTAACAGGAGGAATGCACAGGCTGGGCGGCTGCCTATGGCACATCTGTTGCGACTGTCTGCGTCGATAGCGAACAGGATACGGTCAGCTGTTTCATTTCAGTATCGCTGGAGAGTCGATCCCGATCTTCTCGTTCAGCTTTATCGTTGTTAGCCATGGATCCTCCCGACTCTCGGGCTATCAAGAACATTCATTGCCAATATCATAGCGCAACATGCTTCTGGTGCACTGGTGTTCTACGTCAACAAAACGTCTATGCCTCAAATCCGACCGTGCCTACACTGAAACCCAGCGGATACTGGCAGTGGCATTTGTCTAGAGCTCCGCGGTCACGGCGAACTCAGCCGTTTCTTAACTCTATTGCGAGTCTCCAGTCTTTGACCCAAGGCCGTGTCGCCGTGACTGATTCCAGTACTTTCCTTGGACCCAATCCGCGGTTGCGGATGATAGTTATGATCACCGTAGATTGGAACATCAAGCTCCATTTCACGCAGATGCCCTGAACTGCGTCAGTGATGGGATGTCTCCGTCTTGATGCAGGTACATCGTTGACTTAGTCATGGAAGACAGTTTCTCTTTAGGACCGCTGTTGTCTATTCGACTACAACCGAGTACAACCATGAAGCCACTCGAATAATCAATTGGTTCCTGCCGAACCACCAAGAAGAGAGGGTGGGAGAAGTGCATCAGAAACAAATTGGCCGTGGGAAGGGGGAAATTATTATCACCAATATCAACGAATGAACAGATGCAGGATCACTACCGAAAGTCGCACAATCAGGGTCCATTCGTGTCTTAACTGCTGCGCGATCTCCCGTGCTTCGTTCTATTCCTGATTAATCGAATTAGCTGCAAGAAAGGGCCTATCGTCATCATTTGCAGCCATTGCTTCTCGAGGGCGGAGTGGAGTTGGCCTCCAGGGGGCGGCGATCCGACCTCT